CCAGTATCGACAACTCCAATGACAACTCCAACACGAACACGAACACTGCTAATACGCCGAACCGGAAGACCAAGAAGCGAGTCGTCTGGCATTCAAGCAGTCAGGACTATGGGAAATCAGAGGCAGCGGGGACATCAAATGATTCTCCGGCTGACGGTGGAGGCACCACAAGCACCAACACAACTGTAGCTCCCGGCAGTACGAATGCTGTTACAGCCGCAGACTCGACTCTACTACACTCAACTGTGGCTACGTCTACCAGCAACAGCGGGAATACAAGCGGCAATGGAAGTGGCACACCCATCCCTACACTCGAGGTTAGAGACCTCAGATCAGAGCCAGGTTCACCTGGGTTGTTCTCTACACCCCCTGGGGCACCCGACGCCGTGGAATTGAGAATGGCCCTTAACTTGGTCTTAACTGAAGAAGAGAGGCGGAGGCAGGAGCAGAGCTTCTTGTCTGTAGCCACCCCTCGAGCTCCAAGACCCGCTCTGAGACGTAATACAAGTTATGATGTTCCGGAGGAACGCGAGAGGGCGGACCAAGCGGAGAGTCGCGTCACCGAGCGTCAGCTTCGCTCCATGAATGACGCACGCCAACGAGCAGATCGTTTGGCAGTGTCAGTGGGTAGCTATTCTGCTTCTGGTTCAAGGCGAAACTCGGATGTTGAAGGTTCATTCCAGCCGTTCATCCGCGACTCAGATGACCGTGGGAGCTCCTTAACCGATGATGCTACTGTGACATCTGATGATGACCTCGACAAGGAGCGTTTAAGGTATCGCACCCCCTACAGCCGCCGACAACGCTTTCTTCAAGACCATGACACCGCGGAGTCTCTGGTCAGGTCTCACACACAGAAGGCCGGGAAGAGAAGTCTGTTCCATGAAGAGCCCGGTTCATCTGGCACAAATACACCTGTGTCCCGCCAAACTTATGGCAACGACTATGTCCCCCGTCCTTCAAAGTACAGAGGCGGTATTCTGTCTTCACTATTGAAGCTTTATCAAGATGATAGAAGAGCCCCGAGCAACAATACTAGCGGGCAACTCACGCCTCTCTCATCTTTAACTCCTGTCATGTCGCCTCGCCCCTCACCTCCGACTTCGAGACCTCCTTCTGAAGCTGGAGGATCGAGACCTTCTTCTAGAACTGGAAGATCTCGACAAAGATTTGCTAGTGGTTTGTTCACCAATCATCGGGCCCGTCATTCCACGACTTCCCTTACTGAACTTGTAAAGTCTTCCTCGATGTTTGCTGCCCCGGGTTCCAGCGAGATCTCCGACCATTGGTCAGAAACATTTAAGAAGGAAAAGGCGGACAAGTCCCCCAAACCCAAGAAGGAACAGATTCGAATAACAGTTCATATTGCCGGCATAATAGCACGACACCGATATCTCCTCAAGCTATGCCGGGCCCTCATGCTGTACGGTGCGCCGACGCACCGACTCGAAGAGTACATGACCATGTCATCGCGCGTTCTCGAAATCGAAGGGCAGTTTCTCTACATTCCGTCCTGCATGATTATCAGCTTCGACGATAGTACAACACATACGGCCGAAGTCAAGGTTGTTCGGGTGCCACAGGGCATCGACCTGGGAAAGTTGCGTGACGTTCACAATATTTACAAAGACGTCGTTCATGACAAGCTTGGTGTCGAAGAAGCAACAGATCGTTTGGACAAGGTCATGGAAAGGAAGCCCAAGTTTCACACATGGTTCAGAGTCCCCATGTATGGGATTGCATCTGCCTGCGTGGCGCCGTTTGCCTTTGAAGGTCGATTCATCGACCTCCCTGTCGCCTTCATTTTGGGATGCATTGTGGGCCTGCTCCAGCTTGTATTCGCCCCGAGTAACGAGCTATATGCCCATGTTTTTGAGGTTTCCGCCTCAGTGATTACGTCTTTCCTCGCTCGAGGCTTCGGATCGATCAACAACGGTCAGCTGTTTTGCTTCAGCACCTTAGCACAAAGTAGCATTGCTTTGATTTTACCAGGTTACATGGTACTGTGCAGTTCTTTGGAACTCCAGAGTCATAATATTGTTGCCGGAAGCGTTCGGATGGTGTACGCCATGATTTACACTCTGTTTCTGGGTTATGGAATCACAATCGGAGCCTCGTTGTATGGGATGATGGATAGCAACGCTACTAGCGAAACTCATTGCAAGGATCCTCTTGATAGGAACTGGTACTTCTTGTTCGTCCCGGGGTTCACATTATGCCTTTGTATCATCAACCAAGCCAAATGGAGGCAAACACCAGTCATGACAATAATGGCTCTGGCAGGCTTTTGCGTCAACAGTTACTGCAGCAAGTACTTTGAAGGAAATAGCCAGATCTCAAACATGCTGGGCGCCCTGACAGTCGGTATCTTGGCAAACCTGTACTCAAGGTTGGGCAGACACATGGAAAACGCTTGGTTGGATGTCGTGGAGTGGTGGCAGTACCGAGTTAAACCAAGATTCTCGAAACACCGCTCTCGAGATCCTGATGCATGGTCACTGCCTTCAATGTCCGATCCTGAATCTAGCGCTGCTTCTCAAAAGAAGCAATGGCGCCAGCCGCGCAAGGTTGGCTACAGCCTTGCAGCCGCCGCCATGCTTCCCGCTATCTTCGTACAGGTTCCCTCTGGACTCGCTGCCGGCGGGTCGCTGCTAGCTGGTATCACCTCTGCAAATCAACTCACGGGCAACAGCACATCTACAGTGGACACGAGTGCTAAGACAATCGGAAACCTGGACGGGACTGCATTCAATGTCTTATTCAGCGTTATTCAAGTAGCCATTGGCATTAGTGTTGGCTTGTTTATGAGTGCTCTCATTGTGTATCCACTAGGCAAGAGACGGAGTGGTTTATTCAGCTTCTAGAGAGCTTCTCGGAGAATATGGCAAAAACACTCTTAAGCTCTGGCACAATATTTGAAGCTTATAATCTGTTGTTGATACCGAAACACGCATGTTTTATGTGACGAGGGCAGGGTGAGTGGGCTTGGAACAAAGGCTTCAATCTCAATCTCAATCTCAATAATGGATTTGGAGATATCAAAGCTCCCTGGTTTCCCATGAGGCCTCGAGGGACCACAGGTCTCTATATATACAAGAAGTCGGTGAGCACTTGAGGCCTGAGGCAGGCCTCGCTTAGGTCCGACTTCGGGCCTCGTGCTATCTCCTTTCTTGGTTGTGTGACCGTTGTTGGCCCAACCTCCTTTGTTGTGGTCCAACCGTGTGACATTTTATCAGTCCTATCACACAGGCACTAGCCGGCCAATACACAGGTTGTCCGGCCCGTTATTAGTATACCAGACCCCATGACTCTGTCTAACAGCGGACTGTATTTACACGCGTGTTACCACTGGGCCGTTGTCGCTATTTTAAAGAGCATGTTCGTATTCAGCATCGTTGTATTTAAAAAGGGGCTAGCGACGGGCGCATATGGATTTTCTGGAAGCATAGCTTAGAAAGCTGCATTGACTAGTAGTAGGCTACAGCGATATGTTTGTTTCTGGAGTTGGTTTAGCGTATATTGATAATTAATTTTGACTGCACAAATTAGTGAGAGTTTATGAGCCCAATAGTAATACATACACATATACTTGTAAAGTTGTGATCCCAGATATAATATCGTGAAACTTTTAATTAATAGCTTAGTTATATTAAAATAATGTAAAGTTAATATTATTATAAACTTAAGCTTTAATTTTAAGTTTATATAATTTATGTATAAATTATCTTACGTGGCTAGTTACGGTTCCCTTAGGGCCTTAGGTACAGTTAAAATATAAGCGTTACTAGATACCCTTAATCTAGCTCTTTTTCTTATTTTTTTTTTATAATTTAATAATAATTTAATCTGATATAATTATTTAAATTAAAAAAAAATGAAAAAAACTAATTAATAAGTGTTTTGTTATTATTATTATAAGCTTAGTCGAGTAAGCTAATGGATAAGTAACCTCTTTATAAGTTTATAACTTATATAAGAGTAATAAAAAAACTAACCGCTTAAACATACGCCTTGACGTTTCTGCTAATATAAACCCTGACTACTAGGTAGTTCATCTCTTAGGAACCCTAGTCTCTACACGTACTCCGTGTCAATTCGGTTACCAGGTTGTGCCGGAGTGCTTCCCAGATTTGGAAGGGAGATGCTCTTCCTTAGGAATAGTTGGGGCTGCCCCCCCGACATGGGCTAAACTTGCAATCCACAGACCTCCCGCAAAACAAATCCAGTGATTCGTTTTATGCCAAACATGGATCGACGCGGCTAGACAGCGGCGGGACGAGGGGGAAGTGGCCGACAACATGCATGACGGAAAGTGTAATCATATTTTTGGTGCATATCCAGTACACGCGGGATAAACTCAAACATACACATGTGGGACAATACCGCGGACCCTTGGTATAGTACTAGCATGCAAGAGCCCCTTTGAATAATTGTCGTGGATGCAGCACAGGCACGGGCCACTTCGCTGACTATCATACGAGCAACATCGTCACTGTTCCTAAATGGCGCATTCTGGGGAGATGACGAATGCAGAGTTTGCCACCATCATGAATGAAGTGGAAGCATACAGTATACGACTCATGCGTAAGGTGTTTCTGTCTTGGCAGACAAATTACAGGGACATCCCTTCGGGTCGCATTGATAATGCCCTAGACTAGAACGCCGGGATTAGACCGGATAGAACTCCTGGGGAATACGCTTCATGTAGTTTCTAAAACTTGACCTGTAAGCACCTGCTAGATTTGTATACATGTTGTCCAATAAGATGGGGATTCTTGCTTCGAAATCGTAAGATTCAAGAGTTATATCGGAGCTTTGCCGAATCCCTCTCGGCCGGGATGAGATGGGACATCCGATTCGCACGCATTAGAGTTGGATGGCATCTTACCATGTCATTCACATAAAGTCCTGGAACCCCGTGATTCTTCCAGTCAGAAACTACTACTAGGAACCTATTGTTTCTTGTTCAGCTTTTCATCCCGACGGTTCACTACTCTACGATGATGGGGTTTACACGGTTTCTCATCTTCGCGCTGGCCGCTGCCGCCACTGAATCTTCCTGCTTATCAGCTAGCAGAAATCAGAGCATCATTGTTCACGAGGCTCCTCAGACTGTCCGCCCTTATGTCATGCCCAAGTATAAGGGCCGTGCCGTCTTGTTGTCCAAGACCGAAGTGGTGCGATTTGCCATTACGGCAAATTCGAGCGATGGGGCGTTCTCAATGATCCAGCATAACGGAAAACTAAGTGGTTACGCAGCCGCGCGCTTCCACACGCATCGCAATGTCCACGAGCATGTGTACTGTGCCAGAGGAAGGGTTGAGCTCTGGGGCCAGAAGAACACGACCGACTCTATCCAAGAGGCGCGAGTGGCCACACTAGGAGACTACGGTAATTTTCCTATTGGCAGTATCCATACTTTCCAGCTTGTCGACCCCGACACGCAAATGACGCACATCTTCCACCCAGCCGGCTTCGAGCATCTGTTCGACTTTTACAGTCTCGGGGACTTTGATTCCTCCGCCGTTGGTTCGCCCTATGTCCCGCATGTCGAGGACGAACCGCGTTTCGGGCCGCTCACGCCGGAGTTGGAAGCAGAGCTGGCCTCGTTAGACTTGTACACGAGTAAACAGTTTGTCCCACGAAGGGACCTTATTAACGGAACGGCCGGTGATAGCCGTCTTAACTGGCATAATGGTCCAAACGACCTGCCAACCACCTACGGCGAACCATACTTCGTCGCTAAAGATCACGGCAAAAAATTTTTGAATACAGAAAATGGATACAAGGTTATTCAGCCTCTAACTAACGAGGCCACCGAGAAGAATTTCACCATCGGCACTGTCATCATGTCACAAAAGCTCAACAACGAATCCTTGACAGTAACCACTCTCCCGCACCATTTCGCCCTGCAGATGGAAGACGGCCAGCTCATTCTCAAAGTTGAGGGATATGAAAGTACGGCGATGCTTCATGGAGACGTGGCATTTATCCCTGCTGGAACCCGGTTCACTTATCATGCTGCCGTCCCCTTCACTAAATTCTTGTACATGAATAATGGCTATAAAGGCTTAGACTATCAGCTCCTGGAGAACGCCGTGCCTTGGGAACTGCCTGCTTACCCGCCGTACGCTGGTTTCAAGGCATAAATACGCGCGAATTCCGTCTTGTGGCTATTGTGAAGGCTAGCTGCTAACAAAGTGTTGAATTGCAAGCGGGCGGGTGTTTGGGTGGAGTGCTGAGCTTATTTTCTCCTCCTCTTCCTTTTCGTCGGGTACATCTGCTGTAAATACTACTAGGACAGCTTGAAGTCTCCCTGGTGGGTGGGCGAGACGCCGCCTGATTGTTGCTAGATATCCTTTAGGAAGACTCTTTTACTAAATCTATACTCTCGGCAGAATTCTCTCATAGATGATTGAGCACTCCATATCCCAAGCTTCTTTAATAGCTGGGCCCTGTTGGTGGCAGATGTGGCTTTTTTCATGAAGTCCTTGTTTTGATCTGGTATCCAAGTAACTAGGCCGTCTTCATCCTTTCGAGATGACCGCTGCTAGCATCCTAACATGTTTCGCCCTGAGGCGCGGCGAATTCGGTGTGGATATTAATGCTGGTCTTGGTACTCCGAATACTTCAATAGCCGCAAGCTGCCAGAGCCTGGCTCCGATGCCCAAGAATCATCTACAGTAACTGTGACTGGTTTGCATGTATAGCTCAGAGGCGTTCTGTTCCCATGTCTCTTGAGACGAACTCTTACTTTTAGTTAGGCGTCTTATCGATTCTCCGCCTCTCATACCACCTTCTAGAATTTGGAAAAAGAGACCCGCAAGGTCTAGATCCTCAGTCTCCAGTTCCTCAGTCCTTGAAACAAGTCAGGCTTAATGTAGTCGGCAGCAGCCAGTGCAGAGCAACGGTCCAATTACGATTACAGAGACATGTGACCATCACTGCAAGTATGATTTATGCAAGTGAACCAGGGGGGTTGGGGTTCTTGCAACGGAGACAGTGGCGGCCCACTTGTTGGTGCCGATACTAGTTTCGTTTGGCTTAGTTTATGCAGCCGGAATTCCCGCCGTTTATACTAGAGTGGGCAACTATTTCACTTTATTCTTTGAATTCTTCCCGGTCAGCCCGGCTTTCCTCAACCCACTCGGACTAATCAACCTAAACATCCTGAACGTCCCTCTGGTTGGTTTCGTCGGTTCCTTTCTTCTTCTTCCTTTTCTTTTTGGGCTAGGTCTATTGTTCCAACAAACTGGCTAGCCGGACACAGTATTAGTGTCGCATTACTCCGTAGTTGCAAGGTTAATAGACCGACATAGGGATCTAGTAGTATTTCTGCCAGAAATCCTGCTGTACCATTGCCTGGCGAAACTGGCAGTTTCAAATACGTCAGACACCTCGTTTATCCAAACAAATAGCACAACCCTTTATCCAAGTGCCTTGGTCCCCGATAAGCGTGATATTCCAAGGACTGATTTCTCTAATAATGGAAACCCAAGTGTTGCCTGGCGCTAAAACAGATTGAGTGATCTTGCCCATCAGTTTTTAAGAAGCTGACTAAGGATAGAAAATGGCAACTGCAAGATTGGCCTTTTCCAGCAAAGAATGCTGAGCCGGGTCGTCATCTGCGTAAGGAGCAGTCTCGGAAACCTTGCACGTTACTGATACGAAGTATGGTCATGTCCAACGAGCGACTTGGACCAGTCGCCCTCTGGTCAATCACCGAGAACATCTTGGAAAGGAGATTGGTCTCACCCAATGTTTAACCGCCGCGCCACCAGGACGCGAGTCGAGCCCTCCGGCGGACTTGCCGGGAACAGTCATCGAAGCCGTAGACTACTAGGTGCCGACTAGGGTACCTACTCCGTCTTCCGTACATCCGAGTCGACATTCTCTTCTGGTGGTGGCGAAACACTACACTCAAAGTAATGACAACAGCCAACCTGACCCAGATCAAACGATTGTGGTTCCATGTGAGGTGCGATTTGTGTGTGCCGGTACGTAATTACATACCCGTGCTTGGATGAATTACGCTTAGACGTACTCCATACACTCCGCATCACTACTTTTCATCGAAGCCACGAGACCATTGCCGGTCAACCTGGTCAACTGGTCAGCTTTAAATTATGCGTCTCATCTTGGCCAAAATGTGGGGCCGCAAGGCGTCGGCGGCAGAATATCCCTGGTTAGGTCCACGTCGGGTCAATCTTGATTGACCCTTGCCATCCGAGCTACATCACGGACAAGAAGTACCAAAACTTCAGAAACTTGTTCTCACTTATTAATCGCGTCTACGATCATTTCGCTACTCCGTACTCAGGCTTCGACTCAGCTTGCCCTCTTCTTCATACCCCTGTGTATATCTACCCGTACGGGCGGGGATGGGAATATTCACCCCTACAATTACTAGTGGAGAGAATTGAGACGTCGGTACGGAGTATCGCTGAACGGACTGGTCCAAATGCAGCGGCGCATCCAAAGTGACCGCTGCGCGATTAGGTTGCGGCTGTCCGTCATGTTTGGGCAGAGAGTCCTCTCTACAAAACAAGGTACTACTCCCTGCGATGCTGGTTCTTGATTGGATGTCTCTAATGAAGAGTGTTGGAAGATATGCGCAAGCACGCTGCAGTGCAATCCGGAATAGCCCCTTGAATGCGGAGTAGAGATGTCTAATCATGACGCCCGAGTCAGCAACATACCCGGCTTCACCAATGTGAAACGCGGCATAAGGGTCGCTTCGGCGCAGTCGTCGAGTGACTTTTCAAAATGATGTACTCCGTATTCAACAGCCGACTTTTAGACTCGGAATTCGAGAATATACCGATACTCGCATGATGTCATTCTGCGAGTCTTATCTCCGCGTGTTTGGACAAGAAAGAAAAAAAAAGGAGAGAGAGGCCATTAGTTGCATATCTAACGTGGTTAGTAGCCAGAGGAAACTGTATGGGCTAACCCAAGCCATTTACACTTCAGATCTAGTGGCGTCCTGCGGCTACTAGAAAAAGTTCATATCAGTTAGCAAGAGCTGTCACTAGTAAGATGGTTGTCACAAAGTCATTCTTGGCCTTCATGGCTCTATCCGTCAGCCTTCATGGATATCATATACAGCGAGACCTCGAGTCTACAGCCAGTAGTACTCTAGCTGAAACGAGGGCCACGGCCGCTGAATTTGTTCATCCGGGCATATTCGTTGACAATTCCCAGCTGCAGCGTATGGCATTAAAGGTCGCCTCCCGAAGCCAGCCTTGGACGGCTGCGTATGACGCCATGATGAAACACCAATATGCTAATATCGAACTCCTACACCGCGCGAGGAGGTTGAATGCGGTCTTTTTTCGCGACCAGATAAAGGGTGCACCGACGAACGGTCCAATGCCCTGGCAGCCTACCTGAATGCTTTGGCTTGGGCTACAACCAAGGACCAGTCCAGGGCTACTCGCGCGATTTCCATCATGAATGCCTGGGCCAAAAGTATCAAGCGGCACACCAATGATAACGCCCCGATTCAAGCTGCATGGGCTGCTACCGTTTGGGCCCGCGCGGGCGAGATTATTCGACACACTGGCGCAGAATGGCGCAGCGAGGATATCACTTCTTTCGAAGGCATGCTTAGGAAAGTCTATCTCCCTACCGTGAAAAAGGGATCCGAAAACCCTAACAACTGGGAGCTAGGTAGTTACAAACTCTACATGTGCGGACGCAGCTTGCTCTTGTAACTAATCAGTGCCAATCCAGTTCTTATGGAAGCTAGCATATCTATTGCAGTCTTTCTGAATGACAGGGCTACATACGACAGTTCTTTAGCCCGCTTCATCAACTCCACGAGCTACTACATCTACCTGAAGAGGTATGGAGAATCATGCACCCATTCTGATGTCAACAATGCAAGGCTTACATGCTTTTTTTTTTCTTCCTAGCGACGGGACTGGACCACGTGGACCACCAAAGATGCCTAGAAAGAAACTGCTGGAGCATTGGTGGGGGGGCCAAAAGGAGTTTAAAGAAGACGGAATGGCCATGGAGATTTGCCGAGATCTCACCCATACCGCCTACGGCCTTGCTTCCATCAGTCATGTTGCTGAAACTGCACGAATCCAGGGAAGAGATCTATACTCTGAGGACACTGGCACCCGCTTGAGACACGGACTCGAATTTCAGACGAAATATGACAGGAAAGGAGGTGCTGAAGCAGTGCCATCCTGGCTTTGCAAGGGTAAACTCGAGTTGCACCTTGAAGATGTCACTGAGCCAGGGTACAGCATTTTGGGGCAGAAGTATGACATGCCATATACTAGAAAGTACACTGCAGCTGCGCGACCTGCAGGTGCAAATACCTTGTTTGTAGGATGGGAGACGTTGACACACGCTACTGGGGAATTGTAAAGCCGTGTTTTGTGCAATAACAAGGGTTGGCAGGATGACTGGATGTAAAAATTCATGTCGAGAACCGCCGGGTTATCCTGCTACATCTAAAGAAGCTGTTCCACTCACTGGCCCAGTTCATACCCGTCTGGTAGTTCGTGACCCAGAAGAGCGCAACTAAAAGTACAGCTTGAATTTGCGCTGACACCAAGTCTGGTCATGGGGCTGACTTGTAGCCATCCGCCTCGCGACACCCGTGCAAGGCCTCCGTCTACCCATGTTGAACCGGCTACCACTGCATTGGAGTGTTCGTGGCGCAACATTGAATAACAGCATCAAGGCCGCCTCGTTACCTTTGACACGGATTCCGTGAGCACGTGTCAAAACAAGAGTAATGACAGTGGGCAGACAGATGGAGACCATGCACAGTTTACACCTGAATAACGACCCAGCCCAACGTTGGTGACAAGGCGTGTGTAGAGTCTTTTGCTTGTGCAGTCAAGGAGGAACATGATTTGGGAGACAAGAGCAAACACAAAACTGGGTAGCCGTGTGGAAGCTTAGCCATTGTTGATTTACGCACGTAGAGACCTGGGCGTAACATGATGGGGAAAAAAAAAAGTTACCAGACTTCTAGCTGGTCTACTGCCGCAACAGCCGCGGAGCCTGGGGGATTTCTGTCCAAGGCCCTGGAATCATCTCTTCCGCGGTGGTATAAACTGTTTGCGATTTGGGTCTACAGCCATGCTCTTCTCATCCAGAGTCTGGTTACTTCCGTCGAAAGCTAACTGCTCCCATGATCGGTGACGGCGCGTTTCTTGAAGACAAAGTTGTGCGCGCCCCTCCTATCAACATGATCGAAAAAGCTGTCATCTAAGCTTACTGCTGCTGGTTTTCACCTCGAGAACCTGTTGACCATAGCAGGCTCGTCCGAATAAGCTGCCGAGGCCATGATCCAATTCAATATTCATCAGTGACGCGGACAACAGTCTGGCCTAGTTGTGCCAGGCTGCGACTTCGTGTCAATGCCTCAGCTTGGAGGTTTCACTTTCTACATGAGCAAGTCACATCACATATTTTCGCTGCTCGAATTCCCCGACCCGCAGCTTTAGCGACTATATTACCCGGAATAGGCTTTATTTTTGGTTTCGTCAACTTTTTCAAGGCTCGTGGCTTCCGAGTCATGATCTGTCTTAAAGCGGCAGCCCGGCCCTGGACTGGTGAGCTATTATAATATTGTCGAGCATGGTTGTCCACGCCGGCTTTTACTCGTCCGGGTAGGCAACGCCGCTTGGCTTGGTAGAAAAGATCTCGTGTAAGTGCGTCTATGTGAGCTACAATTCTAAGCTGACTAAATGAGGATCCGGCGCCGCCGTCTATCAGGGAGGTCCTCCAAGAGACTTCGGGGGTTCAGAAAGAAAGAGGGATGCGAAGGTGATGACGAATACGGAGGAGCGATCAAGGCAAGCTCCATTTAGGGGACGTTTATGGCCCCTCGGAGAATACAAACAGTCGGTGAGCGTACGTCAATATGCGCCTGTTTCGTCAACGGCAGACACGACATATTTCATTCTGCTTTCCGATTGTCGATGATCTCAGCTGCAACTCCCCATGCCCAACAACACCCGGTGCAGTTACCTGGCCAAAATGAAATGATTCAAGTGGATATGCTGAAATAGTAGTATTCTGCCGTGAGGTGGTGGTGGCTTGAGTTTACAGCAACACTTACTCCTACAATTGCATTCAAGTTTTATTACAATAATCCAAGTCATTTTTCCTTTTGACTGTGACAAACGTCATCTAGCTGTGGATTACGTGGAATTGGTCTAGCCCTATAGCAGCAGAGCGCAGTGCAGGGGATGGGTAGTGATACAGAGGACCCTTGATTATGTTTAGCGTGGAGAAATCGCGTGTGCTGGATTGGAATATGAAGGACCAGGGCATGCTCTCGAACTTTCCTCATTGACCGTCTTGGAGGCGGCTTATTGCTATTTTCACGACAGACGGCATTGAAGTCGCGAGGGCGCGAATTTACCTCGAGTCGTCTGAAGTTATTACTTATACAAGCCACACCAACATGTTGCAGCATGATGACCTGGAAGCGGTTGTTAGTCCCTTGCTCCACAGGTACGTGATGTGATGCGTCATGTAAAGGTGCGTCCAATCGAGCGGATACAGGCTTGGGTCAAAATAGGATGTGGCTAACTGCTGAGAAGAAGCCCAGGCTATGGTCGGCATTGATAGGTCAAGTGCAATTTGCAGAAAGCACCATGGATATTACAAGCAAGTGAGAATTGATAAGCGTAGTCAAGAATACCTGCCTCCATGCCTAGGTAGGTAGGTGTTGATGTAGGTATAAATAATAACAGTCTTCCAGTTTGGTCATCGAGTGTCCCCAAACTTCAGAGGCGTGGACAAAAGCTCGTCAGGGCGTAGTTCACAATGGGCTTTCCATACCCACCTCGATGTCTGAACTGTGCCCGCTCCGGAGGCGGGCGAATTTCGACTTCTTTTGCTTTTTTGGCTGCACGTCCAAGCGGTGTCAGCAGCCTCGGACTTTTCTCGATGACAACTGCTAGTCAAAGCACAGGTGGCGCCGAAAATCGTCGACCAGACTAGCGCCTGTTGCCGCATCAGCGTCATCCTCACCGTGGCCAAGACGGACGGCTCTTGAGACCAATTCTAAGAGAAGAAGGCGGGGGGGTTTGAGCCTCGCGGGTGACTGCAATGTTCACCCGAGGCAGCAAAAGTATTGTCGCATCCCCGGGTCATAGACTGTCAACCTGCGCAAGGCACCTTTTGCCATCACATCATGACATTCCCCAAGAACCATCAGACACGGGCAATTTTGCCAGTTGAGATGAGACACCTGGGCGCTACTACCTTGCCCCCACGTGGCATTTGGTTGAAGCCAGGAATATTCCGTATTTCTCCAACTAGTGCTCCGTAGTGGCTCCGTACCCAATGCCGGCATCATAGCGTGCAAACCATGGAGTCTGGTCGGATCGGCAATTCATGGCTCTGTTTGGTGTTTCATGTCGACTTGCGAGCACGTGATTTGGTGTCTGTCGCGCAAACGGCAGGCAATTGAGAAAGGAACGAGTCTGGTTACCTTGTGTCCGACATGAACGTATTACTCGGACGCCACGGAAGACGAAATCGAGGCTTCAGGACTAGGTTTTTTTGCGCAAGGCGGAGGAGGAGAGTAGTCAGCCCTCTGTTGGGAAGTACCACTGCTGCAGTCTAGGCTCAACTCGGCCAACAGGTGACACAGGATAAGAATACCTGGCGTCAGCCACAGCAACCGCCCCACTATTCTTGACTCCTCGAACCCGGACGGAGTAGTCCGTACAATACGGGCATGGAAAAGCACTTCAAACGACGCGGAGTAGTAACTGCGATGTGGACGATGGCATGTAGCAGACATCTGGAGCTCCCTCGGCATTGGCCTTGATTCCATGGGTCGTCCGTCGATAAGGAGATCGTGCCGGCACTGGAGCCGTGACCGAGGGCCCTCACACCAGTAACTAGGCTGTGCACGGTCTGGAGTTACATATGCACGCTAGGGTGACATTCTGGAGGACAGGCCCCCATTTTTACAAATGATGAAGTACTGGGCGCAACCAAGTTACCATGTCCAATGTTCTGGAGTCGTCGGCATTTGAGTTGTTCAAACCACTCTGCGTCCAATGGCCGAGGTTGGCTTTGGTGGCACGGATGAGAATGCCAGGGCTGATTGATTGACTGATTTCATCGTTTTGAAAGCCAGTGACTCCCTGAGTATCCTTCTCGCTTGACCATAGCTCGCGATAACCTATATACGCGCCGTTGCGCGCATCGAGCCTCCCTCTCCTCCCCTCTCCCCTCGTCCCCTCCCACGAGAGCGCCCTCTCACCTCTTCACCGAGTAATCCTCTCTTGTTATGCCTTACCACGGCAGAAGGTCAGGAGCTTGCCACTCATGCCGAATTCGCAAAATCAAGGTACGTCACGCCGGGAGGCATTCCATAGACTCTACTCTGCTCACCGATCTGCTAACCTGGTCTCAGTGCGACGAGTCGAGGCCGGCCTGCAACCAATGTACCAGATCACGAAGACAATGCCCAGGATACCGTGACCGCTACGATAAGCGGCGCGACGAAAAGCCCGTTACGAAACCAGTCACCAGCGCCGCAAAGTATCAAACACCAATGCCACCGGACCTCAGATCCGTATGCAGAAATCTCGACGACATGTCCCTCGACCAAGCAGTTGTATCACAGCCTCACCTGTCTGTAGAGACCATAGCGCCTTGCTATTTCCATTTCAACTTTATTGTCACGCCACACCAGCGCATTATCCGCGGCTTCAACGAGTATCTGGCCCTCATTGCCGCAAACCGATCGCAACTCCCGCAATTCGACCATGTCTTCAACGCTTGTGCCATGGCGTCACTTAGCCAACAAGCGGCAGATGGTCGTCACCTCAGGGCGAAAGCTCTAGAGAGCTACACGAGCGCTTTGGCAGCGACTTCGGCTGCGTTATGGGACCCGACACAGACTCTGCAGGACGAGACCTTGGCTTCTGTGCTTTTATTAGCTCTCTTTGAGAATATCACGGCTGCAAGCTCTAGTTTGGTGGCATGGTATTCGCACATAGAAGCTGCTGTGCGGATCGTCAAGGCGAGGGGAAGCAAACAACTTCGCACCAAGGTTGGATCAGACATGTTTGTTGCCGTTCGAACATTTATGGTAAGCTGACCTCGACCATGACGGTGATCAATTTGCTCCCCCGAAATGCACATCGTGCTAGATATGGACGTTTTCTCATCAATTTCGTCTACTACAGATAATTCACTCACTCACCACTGGCAGCTCACTGGCCTCAGGGTTTGCTTGGTGTACGGCTGATTCAACCTACGACGACTATGCTTCACAATGCGAACAGTTTTGCGTCCGTACCGCAGAGCTTAATGCACACGTTAGTGAGCTTCTGGCAAGCATTTCGCGGACACCGAAAGACATGGACAGGGTGAAGGACGTTATTCAGCAGTGCCACAGCCTTGACCAACATTTTGTGCGCTGGACCGACGCCGTTCCGGAGGAGTTTCGATGGGAGACTGTTGACTGGCAAGTCTACGTGCCACACGACGACTACACCAATGCCGATGTTTTCCCCGGACGCGTCGACGTGTATGCCGACTCTTGGATAGCGATTGTGTGGACCATGGCCCGATGGTCAAGAATTGTTCTTTTGTCGGTCCTTGTTCGGGCTACCGCATGGCTCCATTTGCCCAAGGACTATCGCTCCACACAGGAGTACGCTACTGCTGCGAGACTTTGTACTGAGACTATTACAGACGTAATTGCCTCGGTCCCATACCAATTGGGTTACGTCTCCAATCCTCACAAGTCGTCGACCAAGACGAGACAGAGTGGCGGAAAGCGTGGTGACAGCACTGTGCAGAGAAGCATGACTGCCGTGTTTCTGGCCTGGGCCCTTAATGGCCTGCAGAGTCAAGATCATGTAACTGAAGCTCAACGGGTATGGATTAAAGGTCGTCTCAACGTAATTGGTACTCATCTTGGTATCGGCTATGGGACATTATTAGCCAAGGTACGCAATTTCGCCGCCTGTTCCCTTGTATTGTTGTGCCCCATGTTGGCTCGCTGCCTAACCCGCGCCGCAGTTGAATATCCGGGTACCTTCCATGCTAATCCGTCGAGACCGTCTACTATCAAAATTGCATAGCTTGAGCTCTGTCAACACTACCACTGAAGACGAGCCAACAATACAGCCCGCCGATGGCAGTTCTCCAAGTACAAACGCAGATCAAAGCGCTACGCAAAAACAGTTCCTCGAACGCCGAGTCACAGAGCTGCTAGCCAGCGCGATGGGAAAGAAACCGGAAGTTGACGAATGGACTGTGAGAACACTTTTGCAGCTGCCCAAGGATGTTGGAGGCACCTGAAACTGAAGTCTTAGTCCGCGACGACTTTCACGGACAACGACAATGCAAAACGTACACATGCCATGCGCTGGTTGTTGGTCAGAATCTGCCGTGCGAGACTCGGCAGATGCAATCAAGCCAACAGTCGAGATCCACGGCTCGGCAGTGAAATCTGGTTATGTGAAGGGGCCAAGCCGGCGGTGAATGTGCAAGCCCCGGTACCACAGAGTTGATCGCATGAACCCTCGTTGATAGAATCCGGGTGCCATCATGGTGTCAGAGTTCATGTATACGAACCGTATGACCAACACTGGCGTGCACGCAATTTCAGTTTGGCCGATCCCTGATCGACATACAATCAAACGAATTGGAAGCAAGGCAACCTCAACCACCTTCGACAAGCACATAAACAACATCGGGGGAAGAGGGTAGCGGGGCGCAAATTCAAGCAAGTCCCTGTAAATACTTGACGACTTTAAGTTGAACAAGTTCGAAATATAGCAACTTCACACTCAACCCCCCCGGATGCTTTTAGTATTTCTGGGCTCATGCTCGTATCATCATGCGTCCTCCAATCACTTCCAGCTCCCCCTCGCACTCTGCACCCATTGCTTGCTTTCCTCAATGCGCCTTTGAAAGCCTCGCCAACCTTTGGCATTGAGACCCGAGCGCAAACACATATGCTCGCCGACCTCGCAAAAACTGACAACCCGGTGTTGTCCTTCCGCGATCCGACTTTGTAGAATACCTCGAGTTTGCGAGTTTTCCCAGAAGAGATTGTGACTATCGGTTCAGAGACGCGATCGCTCGGCACCCATCATCTTGATAAAGAATTTCATCGTCATCGTTCTTTTTAACATCCGAAGAACAGTTTGCTATGGCCGACTTACTGTTCCATGGACTGAAGCCTCTCCCGCTCTAGAATGAAGACTCGGAATGATGCCATCCCAATCGTCGCTGCAATCATGATAAGCGACATGGCATTGAGTCTGGAAGTTTGAAAAGCGGAATAGAAGCGCAGATTTTGTTTGTTGCTATCAACATCTGCTCACACCAACGGGGTGGGAAGTGTCAAGCTCATAACCGATGCCTCGCAACTAGCTGCTCGTCACCCCTGGTATGTAGTCGACTGATTACAAATGAGTGGTGTAAAATCGATGGCGATAGTTATTGCTACGTGACGAAGCGATATGGCGTTTGATGAGTAGTTGAAATAGTAAGGGTGTCGCGTGGGAGGCATTGCTTCCATTAGATAGGGTAGCGGTAGGAGATCAGGAGGTTCTAGGCAAGACCTGAGGCAGAGGTTGAGAGTATCCTGCCGAAATGAATATGATTCTTGAATAAAAATGTGGCGAAAACACTCTTATTGTTTACCAGTGACGGTGGGAGCTGGTGTGTCTATCAAGTTGGAGCATGTTCTGCCAACTGCCTCGGTGTTTTCCCATGACACACGGGGCGCAAATTTCCAGAGAATGGTGTGACCGTGCTCCTATTTCTCTTGTCGGATTCGAAGCTTTCATATGATGTTTCCTCTTGCGAGGCTGCATCGGGATCGGAGCTGCCGTACACTCTCCAGCTAATGGCTATTGGAGGCAGCTGTACCTCTTGGTAACGTAAGATATACCGCAACATGATGACCAGTTCGAGATGTTGCAAGTCGGTAGCGGCCGCGAGGCCAAGTTCAAGGCGAACGTCCTTCTGCAAAGATGAGAGACACAAGCCACGAGCTTTGGTGGCAACAAGTGGCAAGAGCAGTGGTCTTGTTGGGCGGGCAGGATATAAAACATGTTGCGAGGTTGCGATTTGCCGTCGACAACCGCAACGCCCGGTATACGACATGCTGGATTTCAACGTCTCGAAAAAACTCTGCATACCCTGTCATTCCCAATCAAGAAGCTTTTTCGCGGGAGCACCTTGCGCACCTTCTCCTCTGCCAACAGGCACCAATTGCTACTAACTCTGCTGTAGCCGTAATTCCTGTCCCCGGGACCAAAGATGACACATTGCAGGCGAATCTGGGGGAACAGGTTCTCGCATGCAAGTAATAGAGACTGCGGGTTTCGTGTCTGGAATCAGCTAAATAGCGTGAAATTCACAGCACCAAGTTGAAGCGAGCAAGATGCTACAAGACACACCTTTGCAACGACTGTCAGCAAACGCCTCTGATGCGCCCGATAAGAGCCCTAAAAGACCAAGATATTTCGGTTCGTGAGAAAATGTGAGCACGGTCTTCAGAGGTAGGTATAGTTGTGGCATTACTTTCGTTGTCGGAACAAGTATTTTGTTCTAGCCCTCTCGGCAGCAATTACCTGTTTTTTGTTGCCAACTCTCATCATTGGAATGACATTCTGTGTGGTCTTCAAGCCATAGATCATGACACGGACCCGGTCTCCCCTTTCATATGGCAATGCCGTTTAGCGGGCAAGCAAGTCAGGTGCATCGGGCTGTAGCTCAGGACAATCCACGCGAGCCTGACAAATCTTCACGCGAGATTTTGAGTCGTCGTTCTGCACCCATACCTCCTATTCCCGCGGCTGCTCCTGCGACTCTGGGAGGACTTGAGGCGTGGGGATTGCGGGAGATGACCTGGAAGAACATTAGCGCACCATCCTTGATGGTTTGTATGAATCCAATCTGCGTTGGACGGAATATATTTCGTTGCACCATGTCATGTTGAGGGCATCGCAGTGGCGCATCTTGGAGACGACGAGCAAAAAGTCGTCCGCCGCACCGAAGGCAGCCTCACACTCCCGTCGGAAATATCATCACCAAGCTAATAGACGCAGAGTCTTCCGTCGTGGGTTGGGGAAAGGGAGGTTAGACTACCAAACGATCTCATCGTTTGGCTGACATGGATACCTTGTCTGTGTTGCGAATAATCTTTGAACGCAACGTCGAACGCACTACCACTTACATCGGTGGACCTAATGGCCTTGATCACCGGCTCAGTATCATACAGAACCATCAATTTCATCACATCGGAAACTCGATCTTTGCTCCGCAGCAAAGTGTCATCGTTTTGGTTGCCACTGTCGCCCGCAATAACTTGACTCCTCAGTTCCTCGGTTATCCCGACGTTTCAGCATTGGTTCTTACAAGGCCGCTACGCAATCGCCCTCGGTACGCACCAAAGGGTCATTATCATCACCCTCGGTTCAGCGCCTAGTCCAGCTCAACCACAGCAATATGCAAGTAGTCATGGTCAACTCGTTACCCTAAGTAGGCCATCCAGAACAGCCAGCATGCCAGTCATCTCCCTTTTAGCGAAACGGCAAGTGCCGGGTGCAGGCGCAGGTTTGCTCCAGCGAGGAAGGCTGAACAAGAAACGACCTGAAGTAGCCGGCATGCGCTGTTTTCTTGAGATCCTATCCGCGTACGGGATTTCCGCCCCATGCTGAAAGGGATGCTGCCGAAGGAGTGGAGGTGGAGTGGTTGGACAGTGAGGCACTCTACTTGATAAAAACGACAACTGAGCATGATGAACTCGCAAATACAGACTGTCGATTGGGTCTTTGGAGATATTGATGGATGGCGGCTGCTTACCCGCAGGACCGCAAGTCCTCCTAGCCCAAACTCAGCTCGTAATAACAACTCTTCGGCTAGGTCTTCCTCATTAGCAAGCAGGTCTATTTATCCCAATTCTACTCGTCGGGTTCAACCAAACTTATAGCCGTAGGCCAATCCAAACTTTACAACTACTGGCGTCCGACAACCACGAGTCGGCCAAAACTGGTGAAACGAGTACAGGGAAAAAGTCTATTCGCATCTAACTAAAGTGATTACTTTCGCTTTGTAGCCTTGCCAGTATCGGTGCCGGTAGCCTTGCCCTCGGGTTTGGCATCAGTCGCCCTCTTGGCTTCGATTGCCTCACCCTCCTTCCCATTTTGGGAGGAAGGCTCACCCTCATCACCGCCCTGCCCAAACTCGTTGACACGAGTGTAATCAGTCTTGTAGGCCCAGCGTTGATACAGGTAGATGAAGAAGATGATATCGTCACGAAAAGTCGCCAGTCGATGAAGGAATGGCATCTTGATGGTAAATGCAAATAAATCGTCAATGAATGTGTTGAGAAACTTGTACATCATAGCCTTGGCTGGCATATGAGCCACACTCTTCAGGCGATAGTTGATGTACAGGGATGGAACCATCATAAGGAAACCATAGGCATATACAGACCCAACCAAGGTGGTAATGATGAAGGAGTACCAAGACTTGTGAGAATCGTACACGAGGGAGTAGATGCCATAGGCAATCAGCAAAGGCACAGCCACAATGTACATGTACTTGAAAGCTACAGCGTCATACTCCTTGGTCTTCTCCTCGGTCTCAGTAAGCTTGTGCTTGTCCTCAAAGACCACAGTGTAAGGCAAGAGCGAGTGGGGGGCCGAGGGTCGGAAACGCACGTCCACAACAGTCGTGACCTTCCAGAATTCGATGACAATACCGACCACTTGGGATCCTAGAATCATCCAGCTAGTGTTTTGAGAGTTGTCAAGCAGGTAGAGAAAGATGATGGTCTGCATGAAAACGTTTGCCAAGATGGAGCGAACCGAAATACCAACATTGTCCTTCTTTTTGCGGTAGTGGGCGATATCAGAGCCAAAGGCAAGCATCTCGAGAATGACGTGTGCGATACTGACTGCAGCTGTGATGCCCAGCAGGATGGGGTTCGTGTCAATGAAGATTTCCTTGACCATTTCAATCTCGGAACCGTCGCCGCCAGTGGGCAGAGAGTGACCAAACGCAGCCTGGCGAGCGTTTTCCTTGGAGCTTAATTCAATCGATGCAAGAGTGCTAAATTTCCAAAAAGCCATGGTGGTTAGATCTATGTGCAGAGGAAGCTCCTTGACCGTTTCATTGAGTACAGTCATGTGGCTGGCAAGTTGCCAAAAATTATTGATAAACAAGACGGGGTCTGGCTAAAGTTTAGTCAAGATAAAGTAACGGAGTGTAGCTTAACTTACAGTACCAGCCGTTTTGGCCACTACCGTCGCGAGCTCCTGTTGCTTCGAGACGAAGGAAGTGCTTGACAGCAGGATGGATAGAGTTGAAGTCCTTGACACCCATGGCTGGGACAAAGGCGAAGCTCGCGTTAGGGTGGTAGTGATTGGTGATGATAGGACCCGTAGGCTCTTCCTCCTCAGGCTCCTCATCTTCGGAATGACTATCAAGTAGTTTTCTCGTTTTGGCTACCTTCTTCTTGGGCAGATATTGAGTCAAAGGATAGGCAAAATGATATGCTTTGGCAGAGTCATAACCTGGCTGACGGGGATCCAAGTTACTACCGGTGAGGCCGACGTAAAAGTGGCCCCAAAGGGTTCCATTATTCTGAACAGCCCTCGGAACAGTAAACTTGGTATCGACGGTGCGCTTCTCTGAGCTGTTGCCCATCTGAAAATCCCTTTCCTGCAGCACGATATACTCGGCCGGGGTTTCCGAGATGGGTGTCGGGTTGAAGGACGGGGAGAGAGTTACTACAATATCGACATGGCTGTCTTGAGGCCAGATTGGCGCGATCTTCCGAGGAATCGGTCGGTACTGCGCACCCTCATCGAGCTGGCTGGGACGCAGTTCGAAGGCCGGAATGTCACCCAAGTTGGATGCAACCGTGATGGGTTTGCCGGTATTGGGATCGGTCACTTGGACGCCTCGCTGATCTTTGGCAAGGAAGTACGAGAGGGCAAGATTAAGCCCGAAGTATGCGGCACCGCCCAAAAGGAGCTTGTTGAAGTTGAATCCCTGAGGGGGACACGGTCCACGGTTAGCCATCTGCCTTTCTAAAGAACCAGTTGCATGCCCACGAAAACACTTACATGTCGTTCTGGCTGTGGCTGTGGCTGGCCCTCAGGCTGCTGCCGGATGACCTGGTCAAGCCCGGACATGACAAGACCCAAGACAGGATAAAGGACAAAAGGCTCGCAAAGTTCCAGAGGAGAGTCGGTTTTCACCTCGTCACGGGTGGACGACGTTGCGGCGCAGTTGGTTGCCTTGACAGATGTAAAATTCGCTGGAGATTGTCAAGTAGGATTTGGCTCGCTGGCCAGTCAACTTGTCCGTGAAACTTGGACCGCACCGCCACGCTATCCCCTTTTGGCGCCGCGCCCGTTGACTGCAGCTTGAAGGCGCCACTTCGTAATTATAGGCCACGCAGGAGCCTGCCTTGCCCGCCAACCTGCATAATTCCAAGTATCGTGGTACCTAGGCCGTGGTGGTCCACCGATAGGATCTAGGCCTTGGTTATGGGTTCAATCAAGTAGTGGAGCAAAAAGCCAGAAAGTTATATACATATATACATATTAACAGCATACACTTTCATGGTCTCTGATACCTCATAGTCTATTGGGCATGTGTTGTCATATCTCAGTCGCCAGGACGGCAAAGTACTAGGTATGGTGTCCTTCACTTATGAGAACCCATGTCTCCTGCACATGTTGCCCGACCCTAAATCGATGGTGTTCCATGGACAACACCTCCATGACGCCCAATGGCACCTCGCGCATGCAGTCCCCGTAACGGATAAGCCCGAAATGGAAGCCAAAAGCACTTGTCATACGTGGATCTTTACAAGATTGTTGCCCAACGGACCTTGTTGCAAGCAGAGATGGGCATTACACCACCAGATCTTGCACAGCCAAAACAACCAGATCTTGCGTTATTAATAGACGCACTTTCCTCATAACTCAACGTTGGTATCCAAGATGCAAGGCAATAGACATGTCTGAAGCGTCGATGGTTGCGGCGTGTACATGACTATCACATCATAGCCTGAAGAAGGTTGTTATCAGCACACAGTCCACAATTCGACGGGACGTTGGGTATCTGCCGTGATAGGGACGGTTCTGACTTGCAAAGTTGTAATTCGTCACACTGACAACTGGACGCTTTTGACCATTATTGGTGTTCAAGTGATCATCCCCACTTGGATCAAAGCCGCCTCCGGCAAAGACAATTTGGGCGTCCCACCGCCTCTCCGGCGTGGCCAAGTCATTGGACCTACTGACGTTGGACGTATCGTTACTTCAACGCCAGACCTTGCCGTAGCCCCATCCCTCGGCCTTTGACTCTTATTTCAACCGCTTGTCATCCACTCCCTCGAACCCCAAGGGTAGTATTTGCTTTCCTTTCTGTCGAATTGTTCACATTCATTGTCATTGCGGAGCTGCTTCCGCTCGACTCACCAAGCCTTTACTCCACTCCTCCAGAGATCTCCGTCACTCCTTTCTTTGCGACGTATTGTTAGCTCACTGGACCGACGTCTCTGCCCCGACTTGAGTCTCTGGACCACCATCTCAGCTCCTGGCAGCACGCACCCAAATCACAATGTCGTCTAACACGCCCACCGCGGGCCGGAATGGCACCGCCACGACAAACGGCATCAGCAACAGCACACCTCGCGCAAGGATCTGTGTCTTTTGCGGCTCCAGTGGCGGAACCAGCCCAGCACACATGAAAGCCGCCCGGCAACTAGGCAGAGTCATGGCCGAGAACAACATTGACTTGGGTGCGTAGTGTCTACAGATTTAATTCTGCTCTTGAAAAGATCTTGCTAGCTAACATGCTACTACAGTATATGGCGGTGGCACCGTCGGTCTTATGGGCGAAGTTGCCAAAACAGTCTGCGCCATCAACGGACCCGACTCGGTTCACGGCATCATCCCCGAGGCCCTGGTAAGATATGAGCGAGATGGCACCTACCAGACGGTCAACGTCAACAACCAGGTCGTGCCCACCGAATCTGTGTATGGCCGCACCACGGTGGTCAAGGACATGCACACCCGCAAGAAGCTCATGGCCGAGGAAGTCTTCAACGGCGGGCCCGGTAGTGGCTTTATTGGCTTGAGCGGTGGCTACGGTACCATGGAGGAAGTTTTTGAAGTCATCACCTGGAACCAGCTGGGCATCCACACAAAGGGCATTTGCCTACTCAACATTGAGGGATACTGGGACGGCATTGTACAGTGGCTAGGCAAGGCATCAGAGCAGGGCTTCGTCAAGCCTGGCAATGAGAATATTGTCGTTGCGGCCACCGATGCGGAGAGCGCCGTCAAAGCGTTGAGCGACTACAAGGTTTCCGGGGCTACTTTCAAGCTTCAGTGGGGCAAACAATAGAATACATATACATAGCTAATACATATATAGATCATGTAGAATGAGTTACGATGAGATGACATCCTCTTCGCTGACGTTTCATAGTATGAAGGACGTGGACGCGAAGGGGGATATGTGCACGATGAAGGCTTGCGCACATTATCACTGTACAAACCATTGTCCAGAAAGCAATAATACACAATGCAAAGTTCGCGGAGGGCACTTTTTTGTCTGTATCTCTTTGTATTTCATGTCGAGACCCTGATATGCCGCTCCCAGGCAGCGTTTAGTTGTAATTATACATGATCTAGCGTCGTGCTCTTCCCATTCAACTGCCAACATTTCCCCTCATCTGAACCATCTAGCTGTCAACATCCATGCCTTCCTCGCCTTCACCACTTCCTTGGCTCTCGCCAACACTATCAATCCACTGCTTAACCTCAAACTCTTCATAAAGCTTGAACACCTCAATGTCCTTCATTCCCTCGCCTTGCACACCAACCAGGCCGACGGAGGTGTTCTCCACGGTTAGCTCCTTATCCTGGACCAAGCTCTCCCGAAGCGCCTTGAGACCATGCCTGACCAACTCTTCCCTTGAGCAGTCCGCAAAGGACTCCACGTTGCGTTCCAGATATGTTCTTGCCATTTGGCTTCGGGCACCAATCGCAAACGCAACCATTTCCTCCGTCATGCCCGAGGGCTGGAACTCGAACAAGTGAGGACCTCGCTCGTCCACACCAGCAACCAACAGGCCAACACCATATGGTCGCCTACCATATACTTGAGTGTTGGTCTGGGCTTTTTCGCCAATCATGTCGACGAGGGAGCGGAGCGGGATGGCGCGGCCGTAGGTGAGACGGTGGCCAAGACATTGCTGCTTCATGAAGTTGGAGAGGACGCGAGCATCGGATGTCAGGCCCGCAATGGCGATACCGGCATGCTCGTCGATGGAGAAGAGCTTCTTTTGGTAGGAGGACAATTCTTCGGCATTTCTCTGCGAGCTGGTTAGACGGTAATTGTTTGCGAAACAACGTTGGTTCAAGATGAGACCTAGACCTGCCTTGACAGCGCAGAGTACAGCGTGTGTTTTGCTGACGATACCGACGACAACGGATCCTTGCTTCACAGCCTCGGCGGCATATTCAATCTGAAATATTCGGCCCTGGGGCGAGCTAATGAGGAATGCATGTTAGCTGAGGACAACTACGACCTGCTTACTAGGCGACGCTAGTTTGGGAGACATCGCGGAGGCCGGGGGAGGGCGCACAATGTGACAGAATCGTTGTCGTAGTTGTTTCTGAACATGGTGGTTTGTTTGACAAGGCGATTCGTTGCTGCAGCTGAATTGGTGACTGGATTGCGGTTGTGAAGAAGCAACTGATCGTGGTCGGCCAAGCTCAGCGACTTCTTTGGGGTGCTCGGCTGGTGTCGATGCGGCCAGGCAACCCCAAGCTTCGTCGTCGCTAGCTGTCATGGCCGGTGAGTGGGTGCCGTGGATATTCCGTCTCACCGCCTGCCTTTTTGGCTCTCATCGTCATGGTGGCCCTCCAAGCAATTCACGTACCTAGGTACCTGTAGGTAGGCAGGTAGCTAGCTCTAGGGGTGAGCTCAGTTTGCTTAATGGTTGGCTCAATGCGAGATGCATTTTCATGGATTCACGAGTTTCTCGTATGCCCGCCAGGCAGTGCAATTTGCGCTCTTTCGGATCACATGCCCTGAATCGAAGACTGTATAGGCAGAGCACTCATATCGTTCGGAATCCGCTAGTGAGATTATCAACGATGCCAAAGCCGATGTTGCCCCCTATCTCGAGGTCCCTGGCGACTGCGACATCCTCTTCATGAAGGGTGGCGGAAGCGCGCTGAAAGTTCAGGTGGCATCAAGTCCACCGATAAGGATGGCTTGGACGAGCCGCCGCTCGTCTAGGAGCTGCGCTGTCGCGTGGACATCGAGATCAAGATTGATTACCTCTTGACGGGAAGTTGGTCACAAAAGACGGCTGCTGAAGCCACTACTAGACTTCTTGGTCCCGAGAAGGTGAACATTGCTGCTGATGGACGAGACGTCAACAACGGCAAGGCCGACGAAGTTCCCGAGGAGACGACCTAGGAACTATCCAATGACACGGCCATGGTGTTCTACTGTGGCAACGAGGTAGTGGACGGCGTTGCCTTTGCCAGCATGCCCAAGATCATTGAACCCAAGGCCGATAGGCTCTGGGCCAAATTGCTGTGGCGGACAAGTCGTCTAGCATCCTGTCTCCCAAGATTCTTGTCCGAAACTATGGTGCACTTCTTTGGTGCTCAGAAGATTCTCGGCTTAGCGGGTATTGCCCGCGTGATAGTCAGGAAGAGCTTGATTACACACAGCCTTTGGCAAACGTTGACTCGAACCCTGGGTTGTCATATCCTCCTGTTATTTCTGCAGTGCGAAATGATTGCCAAGAACAATATCTCTTCTTTTTTTTTTTTCATTACTCTCATGCAAGCCTATGGCTTATGAAGGGGCTACCTATTTATCTAGAGCAAAAGTACAATATCTTGTAGGAGCAGGTTCGCCCTCCCTCTACCTTTTCTATTTTTTCCTTTATTTTATGCTTCCAGTCTGCTTTTCCCACGCATTATATACCCTACACCTTAGAGGAATATTTAATGCGTGGGAAAAGTAGACTGGAAGCACAAGATAAAGGGAAAAAATAGAAAAGGTAGACCAAAGGTAGCCTACTGCTTGTACAACCCTCTTGAGATTTTTTGACCAAATTGGAGACCCTTGAGAATAAGCACATTTCCTGCCCAAAAAGATGTTGACAGGTGATAGATACTCGGCAATGTCTACATAACCGGCCAAGTCATCAAGAAGCTATTCGCTTCGTATCACCAAAAAGGTCGACTGCCAAAAGGCCGTCCGTGTCCAAGAAGAAGGCTGAGCTCATCTACGGCACTCGGCGTGGCAGTTTTGGCCATGACCAAGGATCAACATGGCAGGCTGTGTTCAACATGCTGCGTGTTCAGTGGTACTAAAAGTAAAATAATCGAGTAACTATTGACGCTTATCAAGATGGCGGCAGTGATATGTTTTTGTCGTAGAACATGAAAAGTTGTCAGGGCCGAATGTGCATGATGAAGCCCGACTCAGCTGGCCAGGGGGGGTTGTGGTATTCCGCCCGCTGTAGAGCGAATTCCCCAGCCTGTCAACCACCAGACATCGGATCATCGGACGCTGTCATTTGATTAGCTTGTCAACCTCCACTCTGCATATCATCTCCCCAACATATTCAGCTCATCGCACAACTTTGTCGATGCTCCGGCGCTCATCTTGTGCCAGATTAATATTCGCCGGGCCTCGCGTACCGCGCTGGCCTTCACCATGCTTCAAGTTCCTTGATGTGGCGCGGCGTCGGCCGCTTGCAAAACACTTCACGTCCAACACCATTCGCCGAGGACGTGCTCACGTCAACTTCCCAGTGTTTGGGGATACCATCTATGCCTTATCCACGGCACATGGCAGGGCAGGGATCGCGGTGATCCGCATATCTGGATCATCATGTCTTCAAGTAAGCTTCTCGATATAGCACATGGAACTTGGTTAATAACAAAGCTCAGATATACCAAGGCTTATGCCCGGGCAAACCACCACCCAAGCCTAGGCGTGCGACTGTTCGTACCCTACTTGACCCGGCATCCAACACTGAAACCAACATATTAGATGTGGAAGCCCTCCTACTCTATTTTCCATCGCCCAAAACAGTCACCGGCGAGGAAGTCCTTGAGCTCCACGTCCACGGCGGCCCAGCGACAGTGAAGGCCGTCTTGTCCGCTATTCCCAAATGCCAAACCAGCACGCGCGTCCGCTACGCCGAACCAGGCGAATTCACCAAACGTGCATTCTTCAATGGCCGCCTTGATCTAGCGCAAATTGAATCCCTGGGCGACACTTTGGACGCAGAGACGGAACAGCAGCGTCGCGCAGCAGTAAGAGGTAACTCTGGCGCGCTTGGAAGAAGCTACGAAGACTGGCGGCACCACTTACTTCAAGCCCGCGGGGAGATCGAGGCTCTCATAGACTTTTCAGAGGATCAGCATTTTGACGAGTCGCAGTCTGAGCTGCTGGGAAATGTGGCAAGACAGGTAGCCAAGATTTTGCACTCCATCGACCTGCATGAGTTGGGCAGCCAACGAAGCGAGTTGTTGCGGAACGGAATTCGAATCGCGTTGGTAGGCCCCCCGAATACTGGGAAAAGCTCCTTGATGAACATCATTGTCGGTCGGGAAGCATCCATTGTTTCAGGCGAGGCTGGCACCACACGGGATATTGTAGAGGCCAGTCTCGATATACGAGGGTTTCTATGCTCTTTTGCCGACACCGCCGGCTTTCGGTCCAAGACTGAGACTAGCGACGAGGTTATTGGCGCCGTGGAAGAAGAGGGCATTCGACGAGCGAGGGAAAGGGCACAGGAGTCAGACATGGTTGTTGTCCTGGCGTCCGTAGAAGCAGGGCCGTCCGGGCCGTTTATCCACTTTGACAAGGAGACGATGGCCATTGCGACCGAAGCACAATCTTCTCTCGTCATTGTCAACAAGCAAGACACAGTCGATGGAGGAATACTCTCCCACCTGCTCCAACAGTTCCGCCAACTGATTCGCGAGGAATACCCTTCACTTCCACAAGAACCAATCTGCATATCCTGCAAAGAAGACGGCTCTGCATCGAAGGATGGTGGCGTCCAACACGTCGTCAACGCACTAGTCGCCTCCTTTTCCCAAATGACCGACATGCCACCCGACATGCGAGACCTGCTGGGTGTTACTGAACGACAGCGCCAATTACTTGCCAAATGCAGAGGCCATTTAGAAGATTTCATGGACGAAGCGCAACCGCGAGAGGGATTAGATTCAGACATTGTCCTCGCAGCCGAGTATCTGAGATACGCCGCGGATTGTCTGGCCAGAATCACCGGCAAAGGTGAGGCTGGGGACGTAGAGGAGGTATTGGGCGTGGTTTTTGAAAAGTATGCTTCCGGTTCCTTCTTTCACTTGGGCGAAGCGCACGGCTAACAAATGCAGGTTCTGCGTGGGCAAGTAGTCAGCATATGCACGATGTATAATACTGTGCGATGTCGAGAAGAGATGTATTGTGTCCAGCACAGGCCCCTAGTCTATTCTATATCCGGGTAACCCCCCTCCCTGCGAAGGGAATCATGTACCAACACCCGTTGATGTATTCTAAATCTTTTTTTCAAATGAGAGAAACTGTTTTATGCGCCGTTCTATGTGTCCGCGGTAGCAATTTCGATGCTATGCTGACAAATGCAATGTTCTATACATCCCCCTTCCCAGAGAAGTTGCCAATATGTGTTGAGGTATTAATTGTTTGTGACGGTGGTAGGTGTGGCTTTTATCGGCGGTCCTCGTCGTCGCTGGGGACGGTGCCGGGTGCGCCGCTGACAATGTTGTATCCTGAGCGGCCGTAGTTGACGGGCTCGAAGGCAGTTGAGGCGGCCATTTTCGGGGAGTGAGAGATGTGTGAGAGTTTTTGTGGGTTTTTTTTTTGGATTGGAGATGCTTATACGTCGACGTGTAGTTCAGGCGTGCATAAACATGCGCTTGTGTTGTAATATGAAAAATAGCAGGTACGCTTTGGGTGCGATGATGCTTAAACTTGAAGCAGTGGTTGTGATCTTGTACAAGAATATGTGAGCGAGTCGTGATGCTTTCTAGATGCTGTCTTGCAAAAGAAAACGAAGAATCCTCGTCTCAAGGCCGCCGTCCATCCATCTTATATATCCCCAAAAAAAGGCCCCGGCATGCTCGCCACAAAGCCCATGGCCACGAGGCAATCCGGCCCCCAAAAAGGCCTCCTGCCCTCTCACGGAGTCGACCACGACTCACACGTCGTCACGGACGGTAGGGCTGAGGCTGCCTGAGCTTTCTCAGCGGCCCCCAAGGGTGGCCCAGGTCATGACTTGACCAAAACAACGTGGGCTCCCGGGGCGCTTATCTCACGGGTGGGTCGACCGACTCCAGTCTGTGTCCACGAAATCCCCTGCAAGCCGGGCCGCCGGTGCCTGCGTATTCAGCTGTGACACAAGGCTGCTTCCAGACATGTTCTCCGACGGCCGATACCTCTGGCGCACATTGCCAGGGGCATGTAGGCGGAAACGTTGGAACATGCAGGGCCAAGCTGAGAGCGAGAGCCAAATGGCCCTGGGCTCGCACAGCCGCACCCGCAAGCGACACAAACGCCGCCTTGTCTCGTTTCGTTTCGTTTAGTTAGCACGGCCGTCGACTTTGTCTAGCCGTCGTGATATTCTCGCCCCGGAAACGCAGCGCCCAGCTTCGTATCGTGACGAGATCTGATGCCGCGCCTGCTGCTCTGCTCTACATGTAAGCCCTTGCCTGCGCCGCGTTGTCCCGAGAAGACCGAGGGGAGCAAAAATAGCAGCGCCGAGCGTGCCGACACTGCTCGAACCAACATGACAGGAATCAGGAATCCTCTTGTGTGTCCGGCAACCTCGTTCATGGGCACCGCCTGGCGTCGCAGAACAAGGCAAGCCGTAGAATCGCAACAGAATCCTTCGGGGTGCCCCTAACGGGCCGGCCGACCCAGCAACTGACTTCCGTCCCGTCATGGAAAAAGGACGAAAAAAAAAAAAAAAAATTGGCCCCCCCGGGC